CTAGCCTCCTGACTGTGTTTTAAGACAAGATAAGCACTGGAAACCACTGGCCTGAAGCAGGCTTGGATCGTCCACTGACTGGTGGGGCCAGCGTGGCCTCCAGCTGGCAGAAGAGACTCCAGGTTCTCTGGGGGAGGACAGCACATTGTGCTGCTCGATGGCTGGTGCAAACCTGGCAGTCAGAAATCATGGGCAGTGTCCAGAAACAGCTCCAATGACCGCCCCCCGCCCGCCCACAAAAATAGTCCAGTAGAATGAAGACCAAGATTTTCAGTAACAATAAGGAAGTGTACTAATGTGCTATGACTAGAATGTTTAAGAAAATAACTAAAGTGATCTACAATTTCTGCAAAAACCTTCAATCTATAACATCAATCAAATAGAAATTCGAGAATTGAAAAATACTTGAAATAAAGAACTCAACATGTATGGTTTGAACTAGAAGATAGATTAGGAGAAAATAATTGAACCAAGACAGAAAGACAAAAGGAAGAGGAGTCTATGCAGAAAAGGTCCCCGAGTTGTAGAAGAGAGACAGAGAATAGGGCAAAAGCTGTGTGGGAGGAGATTGCCACCAAGAATTCCCAGACCTGACCACAGACATCGAAATTCAGAAGTAGGTGATTTTGTAGTCAGTTTAATGCAAGCAAAGTTCAGTCTAGATTATTGTAATAATGCTGATAAAATCAGAAGAAGAGCTCTTTAACCTGCATAAACAAGAGACATTGTTTTCAGAAGACCAAGCAAGGCTGAGAGAAGCTTCTGCATGTGAGGGAGGAAGTGGAGCCCAAGACACTGACACTGTGAAGTGCTGAGAAAGAAGAAGCTGGGAGCTGAAGGGGGATCAAGATGTCCTTGGTCAGTCGGCAAGGAAAACAGCGGTCACCAGGCACAGCAAGGGCAAAGCAGGCTGGGTGGAAATGAGGTAAGGCGACCCCGTCACTCCTGCAAGGACAGACGCAGACCTACCAGAGCACGCTCCTGGTAAGAACTAACTCAGAAGGGGAAATCCCACACGTGTGTCATCGCAGCACTGGACAGCAGTGGAGGAGTGTTGTGGGGGGAGGAGGACGGTGCAGCCACACAGGGCGGCATTGGATGTGAACGCGCTCTCACAACGTGTAACAGAGATGGACCTCGCTGCAAGCAGGGCAGGAGCCTCACGGCTAAGCGGGTATTTTCACAAAGTCTCTAAATGCAGCAGTCAGAAGAGAGATCAGCCACCCTGTGGCATGTTTGAGCAACCTGAATACAAACTTGATACGTAGAAATCTCGGCAGCTACTCCCACAGAATACCATTGACTCCAATGCCTCTGGCACTTTCAGTGAAATGGACTATATTCCAAATAGTGATGCTCATTTTAATAAATGTCACAAGATTAAAATTATGCAGAGTATTTTCTCTGACCAAATTATAAATAGCCAGAATAATTTTAGATTGTTATTAGAAAATACTTAAATGTTTTAAGATAGACTGAGAAATAAACTATTCTTAAAATTAGACACTACTTAGAACTGAATGAGAATGAGAATGCTACTGTTAAAAAGTTTTCTTAAATGGAAGTCTTTACTGTATACATAAGAGATGTGAATCAATGATCTAAGCTGCTGTTTCATGCAGTTACAGAAGAGCAAACTGTACCAGATGATATTAAAGAGAGGAAATAATTAACATAAAGCTTAGTTAATGAGATAAAAAATAGAGGAAACTCAATAAGACAAAATTTGATCCCTTTCCAACTGATACAAGTGATAAATCTAATTAAAAAACAAGTCATAGGGCTGGGGTTGTGGCTCAGAGGTAGAGCGCTCGCCTAGCAAGAGTAAGACACTAGGTTTGATCCTCAGCACCACATAAAAATAAAAAAAAGAAAAAAACAGAAATAAAGGTATTGTGTCCACCTATAACAAAAAAAAGTATTTAAATAAAAACAAGTCACATTTAATATAGTAATTATAAACATACAGAAACTTAAAAAACACAAAAATTTTATGATTGCTATAAAGCAAGTTAAATACTTTGGTTTAAACTTAAAAATATATATGTGCTAAAAATCACAAAAATGGGGAAAAAGGGTGGGGGGTGATCTCTAGCACGGAGTTTTGTAAGAGACAGTTCTGGCCAGCTTTTGTGTACACAATACAATCTTGATTTAATTTAATTTCAAAAAAAATTTTACAAAAATGGTAGTGGAAGAGATCCAAGATCTAAATGCATGGGGAGTGATGCAAACCGTCTGGGTTAGTGGCCTGGAGCACAGGCACCTGCAGGCGGAGCACCAGCCCTGCTAGGGCACCTGCAGGTGCTCAGACACATGCCTTCACAGAAATTAGGTCAAGATGAACCAAGGACTTGAATCTAAAATGTAAACCTATAAAAGGTTTTAGAAACAGACATACATGGACTTTTTGGGCAAATTCTTCTCAATTTTGACACCAAATCACAATCCATAGAAGGTAAATTTTTGTTTTCCTATAAATGGACATATGAACGCGGAGATGAGCTACAGACCCTGAGAAATTATTTGCAACCCGTGTCTATGACAAAACACAAGGGTCTGCGCTGTACTCTATGACAGAGCTCTGCATACTGGAAGGGGGTGGGAGGGCAGGCAGGGCGAGGGAAGCCATCCAACTGAAAGGAGTCAGAGACACGCACAGACAGACCTTCCACTGAGGAGGGTGTGCACATGGCACTAAGTATACAACAAGGTCCTTGGCAAGTTAGTGACCTGCTCGTGTGTCAGAGTGGCTAGAGAGTACGTCCACTGGAGTGCTAGATTCTTGTGGAAGGCACAGAGACTGTGTTGCTCACACGTTGCTGATGGCAATGCAATAATTGTACCTCTAGTCTGGGGAACAAGGTTGGATGTTTATTTAAAAACTAAACGTGTGATTATATGGCCCAGCAATCACATTCCTGGGTATTTATCTCGGAGAAATGAAGATTTGTGTTCTAGAAAAATCTGCACATAAGCATTCAAAGCAGTTTTGTGTGTCATGTAGCAAACTACAGTCATCCCGATAAGCAGATGAGTGACCGAGCTGGTTGTGGCGTGTCCACACCATGAGATCCTACCCAGTGCCACAAAGAAATCAGCCCTCGGACAAACCAACCCTTGGACGGAGCTCCAGGGATTTAAGCCAACTGAACACAGTCGATCCCAAAGGCTAAACATGATGATTCCACTTGCATAGTATGTTTAAATGAAAATGATGTGGAGATACAGAGTGGGGTTGCCAAGGGCGAGGGACAGAGGCGGTGGGTGGGGGTGGCAGGAGGAAGTCAGTGTGGTACCTCCTGAGGGAATTCTGCAGGGATGGAACTGGTCTGTAAAGACTGAAGGGTGGATTTCCCACCCACACGGGTGCCTTAACATGGAGCTACACACACAGGAGGTGTGAACCAGACAGCCACACCGTATCAGTGCCAATATCCTGGTTCTGACGTTATGTTATAATTTTGCAGAATGTTAGAATCAGGAGAAACTAGGGGAAAAATACATATTGATTCTAACTATTTTATAGGTATTCACAATTGTCTCAATAAAAACTTCAAAAACACAACATTAATCTTCAACATTAATCAACATTAACCCCTTCTTATACATATAGGCACAATGTGATTCCATGTGGAAATTACAATGAATGAAATACAAACGAGCATGAGTAAGCTGCACCAGGTGATGCTGAACCAAATGTCCTGCAGAGCATGACTTCATTCATAGAAAGCCATAAAAACAGGAAACCCAGTCATGTTTCATCCAGGTCGGAGCAAGGGGGCAGGCGGAGGAAGGCCTCTGGGTGCTGGTACCCTTGCTGATCTGTGTGGTGGTTCATTTTACACAGAGCCCCAGAGAGAGTCATTTATGATCCATGCACATTTTTGTTTGTTACACTTCAATAAAATATGTGCATGAAGAGGAAAACAAATCTCTCTTCAAATCAAACAAGGAAGAAACAACTCATCCATGCAGAAAAGAACAATCTTGCCAACAAAAACACATCTCCAGAAAACCATGTGTGCTTGCGGACTGCACGTCAGTCACTGGGACACCTGCTCTCTGGGGCTTGTGGGTAATGCCACTGCACTACTTCTCAGTAATGACTGTTGTTCATCTTGCTCTCAAGATCCAGGTATTCTGTGCCTCCAACAAGAATGCTGGGTTGATAGACAGATGATATGATTGATGGGCTAAATCATGTGTTCATATTCCTGAAACTACTTTGCCGAAAGCAAAGCTTCCTATTTGATTAGGGACATTTGTTTTGGTTGAATTGATTTCTTTCTTGCACTTTTTCTATTTCGACATGCTTTTCTGTCAGCACATCGGGTTCAGTCAATGGATTCAGTGTTTCTTTTCACTGGCTGACAGCAGCTGCTCTGTGACTGTTTTATTAATGTACACTGAATGCCTCACTGAAGCGCTGCGTGGCTTGACCTGGGCATTAACATGCAGAGGGGAAGCTCAGGAGTGCTGCTGAGTCTGTTTCTGCTAGGCACGCTCTTCTTGTTTGCCATTTTTTTAAACATGTGATTACCTATGATGAGTTTTAATAGAGATTGTGAGAAGGTACATGATCAATCTACGCTGGTCAATCCAATCATTTTGTGAATGAACCTGTACCTACCATAGGGTCATGATGCATGGCCAGTGGCCCCATTTTTCCCAAGATTGTCCCAGTTTTAGCAGCCTAAGTTTGCTTCTAGGGAAGCCCTCAGTGGCAGGCAAATGAGGTGGTCCATCACATGAAGCTGATTTTTGTAATAAGAGATGTACCTTTGCAGAGATGGAGTACTCACTGTGAAATGTGGGTGACCTCAACTCTTCAGTACTAGGGTAAACCACAAGTGGTCGTAGATTCTCCGAGGGAGGCCTTGCTGTCCAGTCCTCCAGGGTTTGGTTGCCTAAGCAGCAAGACCCTCCTCCCAGGCGAAAGTCAGAGTGACTTGAGTAAAGTTGTCTTTGACCAGGTTCTAACTCCCTGTTCTGCGCAGGCTCACAGGCTCCAGCGTTCCCGACCTCATCGTGAGCATGAGCAACCAGATGTGGCTCCACCTGCAGTCTGACGACAGCATCGGCTCCCCTGGATTCAAAGCCATTTACCAAGGTAGGACGGAACCACACCAGCTCTCAGCAAGGTCAGGTGTTCTGCCTGGTTAGAGAGGAGCTACCCACCCGTCAGAAGGGGCTTCACGTAGGGACTGACTGGGTGCTACTTCCTTGCGTCCTGTGTACCGTTCCCATCTGGAGTGAGGATTTTAAATTTCGAAAGCCTGACATTCTGTGATGGGTACCATGATTACTTTAAAACAGACTGAGACCCAGCATAGAAAGACCCTGACGCAGGGGTCTCCCGACCATAGCACGTTGAGTGCTGTCTTCAAAACCTTTATTTTCATTGTGGGAAATTTCAAAATGAACACACAGGTAAAAAGAACACTGCAATGTACGGGATATGGTTTATATTCATAAATTTCTGTGAGCCAACCCAATTATTTGAAATGAAAATTCTGTGCTTTTCATTGTCGACGGCCTATTTTACAAAGCTGGAGGTGGTAGAAACTGATAGCTAAGCAGAGGGTTCCTGGCCAAAGAATGCAAGTGACTTTGTTGTAGAGGAGCTGCGATCCATCTCGCCCTGTGACGGGGACTGCCTTCCAACAGAGTGCCGTGTTCACCTCAGGATTTAGGGCTGTCTGTGCGTGCCTGTTCTTTGGATTTGCCTTTGAAATAGGCTTTACAGTATCTTACTAGACCCTTCGTTAATTATTGAGCTTTGAAGACATTTGACATGGTAATGTGCATTTACACAGGGTAAAACGGCATTGTTAAATTGGAGAATTGGGATTTTATTCATTTTTGCTTTGTGAATTTGGGTGGACGGTAAGCTCCCATTTTCCAAGTGTATGCTGTAAATGTAGCTTCAGGAGTTGAAGAAAGGTAGTGAGAGTTTGTCATCTATGAGGCAAATGAGGCAGGTAATGAAATCACCTGCAGACCCCAACAGAGCAAAGGTGGGGTGACATGTCAGGGGTCAGCCAGTGTGAGCTCAGGGTGGTATGCTCTCCCCTGGTCAGGCTGTGCCAGTGTCCTGTGGCGGGGAAAGGCCCCTACCTGAGCTCGCTCACCTGGAAGGTGTAGAGTTGATTTCTCCTTGCTGGAGGCGTGGGGCCCTCGTGCTCCATCCCACTCCAACATCAGGACTAGAATGCAGCCATGATTGCTGGACCCTCCCTGGTGTTCGGGAGTCTGGGCATGGCCTGTTGAACGTCTTGACTGTAGAAGAAAGCTTAATATCAACACGGACCAACACTTGCTCCTGCCTTAGGTGAATCTAGAAACACAGTGAACACCACAGCCTCCAAAAGGAGGGTTGCAGAGTTCACGGTGTCCCTGCCAAGACACACATGCTGAGGGCCCTGATGGCTGAAGAGCAGAGACCGGCATCATGTCCAACTGTGGGTCCCGACTACTAAGGCTACACATAATTTCAATTAACAAGTGTCATATTTCCACTTGCTGACCAGCACACATTAATTATAATTACACTTAACTCTGATTAGTACTCTGTAAACAGTGTCACTCGTCCATTAATTGTACAGCTTGAGATGCCACAAAGACACAGATAACCACCTATCCCTGGGGCTGCCAGTTCAGTACCAGGTATTATCTTTCCACAAAGCAATATTCCAAAGGTAAAGAGATGATTAAACAGGAGGAACAGCAAGACTTTGAGGACTTAAAACATGAAGAGAACTTATCAGAAGACATCCTAGAAGTCAGTATTTCCAGAGTGCTATGTTTAGCTAATAGCTGGAGGCGAAGAGCAAGTCCCATGCCAAGGTGACCATGCAATACACAACTAATTGCACACAACCCATTGTTGAACCATGTCACCCTAAAGTGCATCCATGTCTGCAGACTCTGGCATCACGTGGTTCTAACTAACACATGGTGTTAGGGACACAGGCTCAGGGCCAGGCCACCCTGACACCACCCTGACCCTTCAGCTAGGCACCTCGGGGCCGGTTCCGAAGATCTACGTGTCTGATCTCACTTTTCAACACTGACCAACACTTGCTCCTGCGTAAGATGAATCTAAAAGCACAGTGAACACCACAGCCCAAACCAAAACAATGTTTGCGGGAGTTCACTCTATCCCTGCCAAGATACACATGCTAAGGGTCTGAAGAGCAGAGAGAAGTTTGGGCATCATGTGAGGACATCTGCTTCATAGCTTGGTTGTGACGATCGAGGGTTTCGACAGAGAACGCCAGGGGCATCCAGCGAGAGCTCAACCAGTGCTGGCACCGTTTGCCATATGCATTTCTTTTTAACTTGGAGATTTCTCAAAACACAAAATGTTTGCATTCTATAAATGCTGTGCTCATAGCAAAATTCAAACCGAGTAGAGGGCATTGGATGAGCAGTCCCTGCCCCCACAGGTGGTCTCCTCACTTGGCCACTTCACTTTCCCAGGGGCATGTGCTGTCTGTGGATTACTCTGGGTTTCCCCAGAATTTTCCAGTGAGTGCAGCATTGAACCAGGCACCATGGTCTGTCTCCTAGTCTACGCACCATCACCTGAGAAATGCTGCCTCACCTAATTTTAAAATCAGTCTTGTGTGAGTCAGGGACCCCTCGTGGGTGGCAGTGTATTTACTCCCAACCCTCATACCACCCTTATCAAACTCCCCACTCTTTCTCTAAAGATGTTGAGAAGACCTTGAGCTTATCAGGGGTCTGGGCATTTACGGGGTCCTCAAATCTCTGAATCACACTCTTGCCCTGAGAGGCCGAAGGTCTCAATTCTCTATAATAGAAGCACCCTGCACTCTCCTGCAGCCTCGGGACACACAGAAATGGTGAAGTGACCTCCAGGGGCATCAAAGAGGACGGAACTTTGTCCACACCACCCTCCCCAGGCCTCCACTTCCCCAGACCTGCAGGCATGGGAGTAGCTGGGTTTCCTTACTTACTACTGTCTCCTCCGTCCCCCAAGAGCCCAGATGGAAGGGTCAGTTAGCAGTCTTCAGGGGAGAGTCGACCCTACAGCATCTGGGGTGAGACGTAAAGGGAGCCTGAGGAATAGGAAGACCTGAGTGTCACGTGGAAGTGAGCTTTGTTTATTTAAAATCTTTTTTGCAAACAAACTTACTTAATTCAAAATCATCTGTTAAAGACCAAAAATGTTTAAGTAAATTCCAATATGTCTGATATAAATAAATTTCAGTCTAGGTATATAAAGCAATGCTATCCATCTATTAAACTATGTAAGTATATTTAAGTCTCTCTCTCTCTCTCCCTCTCTCTCTCTCTCTCTCTCTCTCTCTCTCTCTCTCTCTCTATATATATATATATATATATATATATATATATACACACACACACACACACACATCTGTGTTAAACTCTATGTGATTCATATATATGGATTCTACATGTCTGTAGTTTATACATATATAACATTTATTTATTCATGAACCATATATAGTATATATGTAGGATCCATATATATACAACAAGTCTCAGAGCAATATAGAAGTGTATGAAAAACTAACCTAAATTTCAAAACTAGTTGTTAAGAATCAAAAAAAACAATGAATTTTGCATGTAACACTACCAGAATTCCAGCTAGACCACTCTAGGCCCAGGGCTTGAGGCTGTCCATCACAAGTGGGGCAACTATTGCTAGACACCAGAGAGGAGAGGAAGAAAAGCAGGTGTCCTCCATTCAAGGCCAGGCTCCTTCCTGACCACTGCGGCACCCAGCCCTGAGGAAACTGACCATAGGTCATCTCAGAACTTAGTGCATGTCCAAGCAGCCACGGTTGCAGCGTTGATGGCCCCATGCGCATCGCTATGTAGAGCCAAGTGGGCTACTTCTGAAGCTTTTTTTTTTTGGTCACAAAAATAACATCGGTTAGAGTTTGTCACACAAGTTGATGAACTGCATTTCCTCAAATCATGCTTTATGTAATTTGCCATAGCTATTTAAATTTTAGCAGGGGGTAAATTAAAGGAGATGTTCCCTGAGATGAGATGCTGGGTAGTAAAAACAAGACCTATTTTCAGCTCACACTAAGAATTATTTCAGTAAAATTGTTTGAGTTCAGCATCACTGTTTCAGAGACAGAATTACCTCCTAGTCCAGTGACCAGACAGGTGATAATAGTGAGCGACACCTCACTGAGGGAGCTATGCCCGTCAGTGTATGACTGCTGGTCTCTTCCTGTCTGGCAGACCGGAGGTGATGCTCCACGTGGTGCCCAGTAGCAGAAAGCATGGCAAGTCCAGAGCACAGGCCCCTGTCCCTGGCGGAGGAGCCTCCACTGCACCAGTGCCGCACGGTCCTTGAGATCCTTCTCTACGTGTGTGGGCGGGGTTGCTCCCCTTGGCCAGCATGGGCTGGCCCTCTGTGTCCTCTGTGTGAGCCACTAGTGAATGATCAGGGGTCCCAGAGAACTGTGAGGTGTGTGAGGCTGTGGAACTGGCCCAAGCTGGCTGGTCCACGGGGAACGTGAGCTCATGACCCTGGCTTTGGTACCCAGAGCCATGTGCTGCTCAAAGCAAAGCAGCATGGTGCCTGCCAGCAAAATGGGGTGATTCCTGAAGACCCACAGAGAAGAAAAGGCAGAGCCACGCTGAGTCAGCCTCAGATGGCCTGCCTGGGGGTGGGCACTCCCACGGAGCCTTGTGGCATCACGCAGATAGCGTCTCCTGTCTCAGGTGGCTGACCAGGCTTGCAAGGCCTTCACTTCTCCCCGTGTCTAGGAGCAGGCCTGGGTGAGCCCGTCCACATGGGTGCGAGGACGAGGTGAGCAGAGCAGGTGCCCAGGGAGTGTGTTCAGCTGCCTTAGCAGAGCACCACAGACTGGGCCGTCCAGGACCAAGGCTGCACAGAGGCGCTCTCTGGTGAGGCTACCTCCAGTTCACAGATGGCGCCATCTCTCTGTGTCCTGTGGTGACAGGGATGCATGAGCTCTTGGATCTTTTATAAGGACACTATTGCCATTAGGGGTGCTCCCCCCTCATGACCTAATGGCCTCCCGTGGCCCCACCTCCCAACGCCATAACACTGGAGAGTCCCTTGTCAACACATGACTT